AGCATTTTAAATATCTTCTTATTAAAATAACTGAAATTGGTCTCGTTACTTTAATTTCAGGCAAGCCCATAGGGAGAATTTGCAAATTCCCATAGTTGGAGCAAATGCCTAAAAGACAAGACTTTTCCAATTGTACATCTTTTGTTAGAATGAAAACTCATCAGGGGGAAAAAAGTGCTAATATGGTTAAAATAAATCAAAGTTATAAAAACTGTATAAGCAGGAGAACATGACTTAATGAAAGACAATGAATAAGAGGCTTTAATTTGATGGATTCTAAAAGGCATAAGCCTCTTCCTTGAGATGATGAGCCTAAACAATGAACAATGAAGCCCTATTTCATGCTTCAGAGAGTTTAGTATGACCTGTGTATCCACAGGTAAAGGCAGGAATGCTGTCGTGACCACAGAAGAAAATTTATAATATTTGAGAAATCTCTTCTAAAGGCTGTGGAAGTAGATATATGCAGGGGTGATAATACCTGTTGAAATTCTTCCTAGAGAAAGATACTTTATAAATCAATAAATAGGTCTGGCATATCATATTGGTGAGTGTGCAATCTTCTTAGAAGAAAAAGTTCGTATCTTCTAACCTGTCAAAATATATCCAAACTACCAATTTTTCTTGTGCTTCTTGTGGGAAAAATTAACAGAAATAAGTGTTAAAAATTCAAACTCATTTTTTCGGTCTACTGTATACTAAACACACAGGGGATTTGGAAGCCACAAACAAAAGTCACGGCATTTACTCCCAAAAACATTACAATATACTAAGGAGACTTGGCATTTAGATAAAGCAAGACCAGTAAACACATTACTTGTTGGAATGGAGTCAAGGACAGGAAGGAATGAGAGCATAGTGGATGGAGTTCCTAGCTAGATCTGGTCAAGAGTCAGGAAATACTTCCCAAAGGAGTGGAGTAGAAGCACAGTGTAGGGGCTTTTGAGAAGAAATGAATAGAAATTCACAAGTGGTATTATTATACACATACATTTCTAGCCACATAAGTAGAAGAAGGACATGGATGATGATTTTCTAAAACAAGTTGAAAATGGATTTTGAGGCCTGAAATCAAATTTTGCTTAAAAGTGAAATTCCTGCTATATTCCAAAAAATGAATGAAATAGACAAAATTCAAGCAAAACTGCGCAAAGAGAGAAACCTAACCCCTGCCCCCAAAATATACACGTATATGTATCATATATGTACTATACCCATACACATATGTATGTCTTATAGTGTATATATGTGTGCATGTGTGTGAATGTGTTTGTATATATTTTATATATATATACATAAAACATACTATGATAGAGTAGTTATTTTTGAAATCATAAATACAATGAATGATTTAATGCCTATAAATTATAAAATATGTACACGGAAGAAATTTTTTAAAATAAATAAACATACAACCAACTTGTTTTAAGAATTTGGAACCCTGAATGGATCAGTGGACATTAAATAAATGCAATAGGTAGTCAAAATTGCCCTCCTTTTTCCACTCTCTAATGACACCAAGTCTAGAAGCTATTACAGACAGCCTTTAGGATACCTTCCCACATGGTTTATTCCTGACTTTCACAAACTTTCCCAGAGATTACAATAGAGGGGAAGTTAACCCAATTTGTTTTACAAGGTTTATATAACTAAAATTTTGAAACTAGACAAGGACAGTACACAAAAGAAATGTAAGTCAACCTCACAGAGTCAAAAGCTTAGATACATTAAATTGTATTGGTAAATTGATTTCAATGATGCATAAAAATTTACATATCATGAATACAAAACAAAATTCTAAATATGCAATTAATGCTAGCGATTATAGAACTATAGAAAGTGCCCACTACACTGGATAGAATCTCAAATTTTTAAAATCTTTGTAAGATGGAAAGAGAAACACAAAATCACAAATGAGTACTAAAACATGGTGTGATTCAGAGGAAATTTGTTCAGGAAAAGGATGCCAGAATAAGCTGAAGTCTCAAGAAAAGTGCTAACAAATATATATATATTCCACGATGTGAAAGAGAAATAGAAAGTCATAATCCCAGTGCTTAAGGAAAATGATAAAATGTAGCAGCTGAAGAGAGAAGGCACTCCTACTCAAATCCAATTTTAGTTCAGTCTTCCAGAGTAAGGAAGATAATCTTTTTAATAGAAATGTATTGGAGGTCCCAAACAAGTGATAAAATAATCTATGATTTCTATTTAGCTAGTGAAGAATTAGCACATAACTGGTTACTAAAGGGACTACAAATGTGGTGTCATAGTCTGAGCAACAATGAAAATGGGGGAGAGAGCACACCGTGAAAATGGGGGATCAAGCAAATGTTCTAAGTTTTCAAAAGGAGAAAAAAGATAAGTTATTTGAGAAAATTATAATGTGAGGGTTGAGAAACTATTCCAACAAAATTTTAAATAGAGTCTGAGTGGATTTTTTTCTTTTTAAGTATACGATAATCCCTGTGATCCAGCTGGGCTCAACAACAATACATAATAACAAGACTGTCTTTTTTTTTTCTTTAAAGATTTATTTGTTTATTTATTGAGAGAGTGTGTGCACGCAGCGGGGAGGGAAAGAGAGTGGGAGAGAGAATCTCCAGCAGATTCCCCACTGAGTGCAGAGCCCGCCTCAGGGCTCCTTCCCAGAACCCCGAGATCATAACCTGAGCCAAAACCAAGAGTCAGATGCTTAACTGACTGAACCACCCAGGTGCCCCAATAACCAGACTGTCTTATTCACATTTTAGATGAAAGTGCTAGGAGGCACTCAGGTAGTGGCAGCTCCACTGTTAACATCAAGAAACATGATATAATGGGAACTTTTTTGGTAAAAAACCAAATGGGTGATTTTAAGAAACCTATTTAATGGTGAGCAAGCTCTATTGAAACCTAGGGAAGCTCCTGGTGGAATATGATGAGGCTCTGTCTTAGGCTTTATAATGGTGCTTTGGGTTTTTTTTTTTTTTCTTTTTGTGGCTTTGTGGATTTTTTCCAATTTAAAAATATTAAAGACACAGTTACCACATTTTCTTAATTGAAGTATAGTTGACACACAATGTTACATTAGTTTCAGGTGTACAACCTAGTGATTCTACAAGTCTATACATAATGCTGTGCTCACCACACATGTAGCTCCCATCTGTCACTGCACAATAATATTACAGTACCATCGGCTATATTCCCTGTGCTGTACCTTTTCACCCTGTAACTTATTTATTCCATTACTGGAAGCCTATACCTCCCACTCTCCTTCTCCCATTTTGCCCATTTTCCCATCCACTCTCCCTCTGGCAACTATTCATTTGTTCTCTGTATTTATGGGTCTGTTTCTGCTTTTTGGGTTGTTTTTTTTTTTTTTTAGAATCCACATATAAGTGAAATCATATGTTATTTTTCTTTGAATGATTTCACTTAGCATAATACACTCTAGGTCCATCCATGTTGTCACAAATGGCAAGATCTCATTCTTTTGGTCAACACAAAGGAGAGAAAATTAGAAAAGATCAAGAAAGTCTTCTCTTAGATCTCCAAGTATATGCTTGTGTAGGACACCTGCCCTATGCCTCACTGATCAAAATACAGGTTTAGGATAAGCCAACAAAATAATGATGCTGCTGGCACTCACTCTAATGCAAGCTTACTATGTGAGAAAATGCTCTAATCACAGAGAATGAAGTCTTGCTGCAAAAGGCAGAGCATATCTGATGAAGTGGATTTAAATGTGGTGGTTCACTTTAAGAGGAACACTGAAGAAACAGAATAGTCACAGGTAGGGTAAAAAGAGAGATACTGCTAGTTTTTGATCAGATATGAATGTCACACATAATATTTAAGGAATTATTTGAGTTGGTAAGTAGTCTAAAAGGAGAAGGCCAAGAGTTTTTAACATAAAAAAAAAAGTCACATGGATAGGGGAAAATAAGTCATTAAGAATCAAACTAAAATCTCTGTGTTCTCCCTCTCATAATTTGCCATTCACGGTCCTTGTCAAGGAGCCAGTCCTCTGAAACCCTACCCAACAGTTCCAGCAATGTGCCTCTCTAAATAGGTCTTGTAGGTTTCTCCACTATGACTTGGTCACATGTGTATTGGTATTCTGTGTTTACGTCTGTATTCGTCTGCAGGGTTGAGAGCAGAGACCATATTCTATTCAAATTTACAATGAGTCAAATTTCAGTTTAACTTAAGCCAGAACTTTGAAGCAAATTAGAGTTCTTCAATGGAATGGAATTTTGAGATAAAATGCTCATTTGTAAACGTTTCTATGTGAAAATTCATCTTTCTAGCAGCCCTTGAGAGGGCTTTCCATCAGGTGGGATTTGGAGAGAAGGAGAGATTGATAAGTTGATCGTAATGTTTCTTTCAATGCCAATATTCATTGGCTTCCTTTCCAGTGGCTTGCCCTTCTTTTCTGCAGTATTTGTGGTGCCCTGTTTCCTTCTCACCACCTAAACAATTGCTCTGGGCTGGGAGACTATAGAGAAAAGGCCTTCACTGGTAACTCAAGGATTACTTCATTTACTTCAATAAAACCCCCATTATGTGGGCAGAACTTCCAATTAGAGGCTCAATGATTTTTTTTTAAGATTTTTAAAACTTTATTTATTTTTGAGAGAGAGACAGAGCACAAGCAGGGGGAGGGGCAGAGGGAGAAGCAGACTCCCTGCTGAGCAAGGAGCCAACCGGCTCGGTCTCAGGACCCTGGGGTCATGACCTGAGCCGAAGGCAGTTGCTTAACCAACTGAGCCACCCAGGCACCTGAGGCTCAACAATTTTTAGCAAGCAGAGCAAAGAGGTGAAAATGGCACAGATTTAGAAGACCTGTGTTTGATGTTTACCTCAACTTGCTCTATGACTTTTGGTAACACATTTAGCTTCTATGAATCTAATACTGAATTGCAGTAAAACTCCATTAGGATCCTGTTTGGGAGAGAATCTGTAAGTGTCATATAATATAAGTAGCATTTTTTGTATGATTTTCAGTGTTACTCTACCTTCATTGCCCTCAGTGTATGTGGACTGGAGTCTTTCTGTGGGGACAGGATGTGCTTGGGGGTAATGGCTACATCTAATCCCAGCTTCTCTTCCTGCATCTTATACAAGTCATTTCCCTCTCCTAGCAGAACAAAAGACAAAGTTTGAATTATTGAATATACAGATTCTAAAGGTCCTTTCCCTTTGTGTCAAAGAAAACTGTACATTTCTATTAAAGATCACTCTCACCACTCTACATTCAGTGAGGGGACTTGGTAGCACATCACTCTGAAGAAGCCTGAGTCTGTATATCATCCCTAATTGCCTCGTCAAAATAGGCGCAGGTACCCAAGTGCTAGAGACCGCAGTGTCTTTGGAGATCATCCAGAACCTTGACAACTGACCATACTTCTTATTAAGTGCCAGGACTAGCCACATCATTTGTGGGATCCAGTGCAAAATGCAAACACAGGGTCCCTTGTTCAACAATTACTAAGACTCTCCAAATGATGGCAATAAAGAATTAAACCAAACACAGGGCTTTTCTGAGCACTGGGCCCAGTGCAGCTGAACCGGTCACACCCATAAAGTCAGTCCTGCCACGTGTCAATGCCATAATTAAGGTCAACTAGTTGCAAACCACCATCCAAGGCAAGTAAGCATTTTTACCAATCATGTAACATTTGAATTAATGCAAAGAGAAGTTTCTGAATAGATAGTCTTTAAAGAATTTCACACACAAATCAAAATACAGTTTTTTAAAAGATTTTATTTACTTATTTGAGAGAGAGAGAGAGAGAGCACATGCATGAGCAGGGGGAGTGGGAGAGGGAGAAGCAGACTCCCACTGAGCAGGGAGCCCAATGCAGGGCTTGATCCCAGGACTCTGGGATCATGACCTGAGCCGAAGGCCGATGCTTAACCAACTGAGCCACCCAGGTGGCCCCCAAATACAGTTATAGCTTAAGAGAAATTCTAGTTGAACTCTCTTTTAAGGCAAAATTGAGCATCTTCATTCTCTTTGTCGGTTGTCAGAAAGGGTGTTACTGTGGTAAGTTTTGATATTAATATATGAAGTAGGAAGTTTTAGGCAAAAAAATAAAACCATGTCTTTTCCTCTTCATTTAGAGCAAATAAAATTTGCTTTATTCCAATATAATTTCTACCACATTCAAATGGGCTAAAAGTCTAACAGAAATGTTTTGAAACATCACAATTCACTGAAGCCTGTCACAATATTAACTTGCGTAAGAAATCGGTTAGACGAATTTTAGCCAAGTAACTAGAACTTCATGGTAATAATTCTTTAAATTTTAAGAAATATGATAATTCTCTTTTAGTTGCAGTACAGATTTACTTGTTTGCTTATAGGTCAATTCCCACCGCCACCAAAAAAAAAAAAAAAAAAAAAATTTCAGCCAACTAGCAGATGAGTCATATCTCTTCAAATACTAGGAAATGATTAGTGACATCTATTGTTGATGACTGGAGACATCTGTGAACTTTATAGATAAATTTCTACTTCCCCTCTAACACTTTATGTTCAAAAGTAACAGCTGTTGTCTCTGCAGCTTCTCACTTTCATTTCTGAAATAAAACATAAGACTTAAGCTAAAATAACTTCTGCTAACCAATTTCAAACTGTCTTTACAGACTGTGTTCTAAAATATTTTTGGAATCAGATTTATTGTTTGTGTGTTCAGAGATTAATTAATGTAGCTAGCATTCACTTATTCATTCTGAGCTCTGTTGGTACCCAGCCCTTTAGACGTTTGAAATGCAGGATATGACTTCACCGAGTCTTCACAAGTCTGGCTTCATTATCTAAAGCCCGAACACTTAGTAACTGTACATCCGTGGTGATTGGAACAAATGTCAAGATTCTAAATAATACCTCAGGCAGCCCGGCTTCAGAGAAAGAAAGAGCTTTTAAAAAATCTAAAATCTGCCTGTGATGGGGCTTTTCCCTAAGTAAAGGTAATGAGTCAACAGAACGTTCTGTTCTGTTACCCATGAGCCCTCCCTTTCCCATTCATTTTTCCCCTTCTTTTGCACCAGACTCCCAGAATCTCGACGTTCCTAGTGCCTTCCCAGCTGCCTTGTGGTTCCCTTAATGTAACTCCCTGTTTTCTAGAGAGCTTCTCTGACTCCCGAACCCCCCAACAGTATCTGTGCAATCTCCTTCCGCTTAAAGCCCAGCTATTTACTTACATTAATAACCAGATGAATTATTGTAAGTTTAGAACTTAAGCCTTCTGCAAGTTTGTGTTCTGCTCCCACCCATATGTTGAAGCCCTAATCCCCAATATATTATTATTTGGAGAAGGGGCTTTGGGGAGATAATTATTACGGTTAGATTAGGTCATGAGAGTGGGGGATTAATGCACTTATAAAAAGAAGCTTCAATTGCATTGCATTCAACTACATTGTAACTAAAGCTTCTAAAAACGACATGGTATGGGGCATCATGATAGGACCAATGGAGGCTTTAGGAAATAGGGGTGTTTGAAAAACTACTTCAGTTAAAGGCAGAGAAGAGCAAAAGCTTATTTTCTTCTTGCTCTACATTTTTTAAAAATGCTATTTCTTTAAAAAAAAGACTTCCTCAAACATCCAAAAATTTTTTTTTCATTATATTTTATACAATGACGTTTTTT